TCTTTCTCTCTTTCTTTCTTTCTTTCTGCTTTTATATCTAAGAAACCCTTCCTTCCTTCCTTCCTTCCTTCCTTCCTTCCTTCCTTCCTTCCTTCCTTCCTTCCTTCCTTCCTTCCTTCCTTCCTTCCTTCCTTCCTTCCTTCCTTCCTTTCTTTCTTTCTTTCTGCTTTTATATCTAAGAAACCATTTCTTTTCTTTCTTCTTTTCTCTCTCTCTCTCTTTCTTTCTTCTTTCTTTTTTCATGAGACAGAGTCACACTCTGTTGCTCAGGCTAGAGTGCGGTGGCATCTGCTTAGGTCACAGCAACCTCAAACTCCTGGGCTCAAACCATCCTCCTGCCTCAGCCTCCCAAGTAGCTGGGACTACAGGCACTCACCACAAGACTTTTATTTTATTATTTTTGTTTGTTTGTTTTTTTTTTTTCTTCTAAGAGTTTTAAAGCTTTAGTTTTTACATTTAGGTTTACAATTCCCTTAATATTTCTATATTATATGGTACAAAGTAGGGCCACTCTTCTTCTTCTTCTTTTTTTTTTTTTTTTTAAAAATGATGGTTACATGATGCCTAAGTAGGTGGCGATGCCTTAATCATGTGTGTTGTCAGGCCCTAGGGCCTCTTCCATCCTTGTTAAGGAAGTGCTAACCTTCTCTCTTTTCATACAATGCATTTAAAAAATATATCTTTTATAGTAAATTTAGCACACATACAGAAAAGTAGACAAAATAACAATGTATAGTTAAATAAATGGTAATAAATCAATACCCTGTAACCAACACCCAGGTCAAGAAACAGAACACTGTCAGCATTCCACTGCCCAATCAATACTCCTTCCTCCCCCAGAAAGTAAAAGCTACCTTTTAAGGCAAACTCTTTTCTGCTTTTCTTAGCTTTACTATCTAGAAATACATTCCTAACAATAGACTTTCACTTTGCCAGTTTTTGAAACTGGTATCAATGGAATTATATCACTTCTGGATCCTTTTATTCAAAATTACTTTTGTGAGACTCATTCAGCTTTTGCTGTTTTTGATGAACAGAAATTCTTATTTATATTATGATCCAGTATAATAATCCTTTTCTTTATGACTAGAGTTTTTCTGTCCAGTTTAGAACATTTTTCCTAATCCTAAGGTCACACAGATATCCTTCTATATTATCTTCTTAGAGATTTTATTATTTGCCTTTTACATTTAGATCTACAATTCATCTGGATCTTTGTGTATGATAAGGACAGGAGTTAAATTTCATTAAAAAAAAAATCCAACCATCTCAGCACAATTTATTACAAGTATCTTACTTTCTAAACTGCCTTGAAATACCTGTGTTGTCATAAGTCACATGTTCCTTTAGCTTTGGTCTATGCCTGACCTCTTTATTCTATTTCATTGATCTCTTTGTCTCTCCTTAACTATCCACAAAAGTTTGAAAAGCAACTTGTAAAGTTCTACTGGGGTGGAGGAGAAGAGTTGGAATCTTGACTGCGATTGCACTAAATTTATAGATCAATTTAGGGAGTTTGACAATTTCACAATATTCAGTCTACTAGTCCATGAACATGGTATATGCATCCTCCATTTATTTAGATCATCTTTGATTTCTTTCAAAACTGTTTTAAAGCTGTGTAGAGGCTTTCATTGGATCTGTTCTTAGATATTTAATAGGTTTTTGGATTATTTTAAATAGTATTTCAAATTTTTCATTTTCTTTTTTTTTCTTTTTGTAGAGATGGGGTCTTGCTCTTGCTCAGGTTGGTCTCAAGCTCCTGACCTCAAGTAATCCTCCCGCCTCAGCCTACCAGAATGCTAGGATTACAGGTGTGAGCTATCATGCCTGGCCAAAATTTTCATTTTCTGGGGTTTTTTTGGTATATAACACAATTAATTTTTGTTAGACATTAACCTAGTTATCAACAACATAGCTAGTTAACAAATCAGGAACAACCCTTAACTACTGAGAGACGGGGTTGATGGATAAATACCTCCAGCTTTCATGCTCCTCAGTAGGTTAATTCTGAAGTATGTTCCACATGGTCTCTAACAGAGTTCCTGGTGGGATTGAGTTCAAATTGCCCATGGTGGTAAAACACTCATCAGCCCATCTTTTATTGGGTTTTCTCCCTGCCCTATCTTTTATCTCCATTCCCACACAGTGCTTCCTGCAGTCACTTCCTAAATAAGCTACTTATATCCATATCCCTGTCTCAAGGTCTGCTTTTGGGAAAATCAAATATAAGACATGGCCTATTTCAGGGATACAGTCCTTCAGGACTCAACACAAAGTAAGAGGGTTTTGTTAGCATTTCTCACTACTTTGCGGGGGATCCTAGACATCAATCCTTGTTGTCTTAGCCCTGAGTGCCTGTCATAGTAACTGCTCAATTTCTTGGCTTCTCAGTTTGTATTTCTGGAATTAATGTGGGTCCCTGGGGAAAAAGTGCTCCAAAGAGAGGATTCTCTTCCCTGGGTCTTATTCATCCCTTAGATCCTGGTTTGGTAATTCATCGTTATTTTGTTAGTTTTCTTGTGCCTTTATGCAGATTTAAAGAAATATTTTGTCTAACTTTTCCAGTTGTCCTCAAAGGGAGAATTAGTCTGAATTACTAGAAAGGCAGTCCCTAGCCTCCTTCTCTGAGGTTGTGTTGCACTTTGACTCTTCAAAGAGCTTTTGCCTGACCTCCGCTTATTTATCTATATTTCCTCCTCCCTCATCCATGTGATGGTCTTTCACAACGCCATGCCTTTACTTGTTTTTCCCTGTTCAAAGTGTGACCCATCAAAGTATTAGATCCCTGGAAGAGTAAAATTCTTCCTAACATGCCGTCAACAAAGAGGTAAGCAATGCCAAGATGGTTATCAAAGACCACACAGGCAGTTTGAATGGGCTGCCTAGGAGGAGACCAACCTTCAGCCAGGAGAGAACGTCTCAGTTCTAGGAAACCAGAGAAAGTCTCAGTTCTAGGAGTGTGTAAATCAAGCTGAAAGTTGGATAGAGCATAATAAAAGATAAATGGCAGATTTGGAAGAAAGAGAAATGAGGCAAGGTGTGGGCATGGCATGGTGTGTTCAGGAGCAAATCTAAAAAGACTAGGTTTAAGCCAGATATTCTATTTGCTTAGAACATTCTTGATAGTGCAGCTTAAATGACTTTTTAAATTCTCTTGGCTGCAATCACTTCCTCCTTCAACTTCCATGGCACTCTTATTGCATTTATCACACCATTTTTTTTTTCTATTGGCTTTGAATAGTCTGTTCTTTCTAAATTATTAACTACTATATGGAAGCTGTGGTATAGTGGAAAGAGCAATGGAATCAGAGTCAGAAGAGTTGGGTTTTAGTCTCAGCTTCAGCACCTACTTAAGGTGTTTGAGCCCCAGTGTCCTCATTGATATAATGGGGAGGAATAATATTGTTTGCCCAATAGTGTGATTTGAACATTAAACAAATAAAAGGTAATAAAAGTCGTACATAGAGAGCACTTGACACATAAATGCTTCCATTTGCTGAGCCTACTGTGTGTATGAATAACTCTAGGCACTTGACATGTTATCTTATTTAGACCCCATTGCAACCCTGTGTGAGGTCTATCACTACAGATTATTTTTCAAATGAGAAAAAAATGCTATGTTAGGTTAAATAATCTAATAAAGACTGCATAGTTAAGTAGCAGAAACAGAATTCAAATCTGGATCTGTGTGGCTCTAAAACTAGCAGTATACATTTGTCTACCCTGCTTCCCCAGGGCTCACATAGACTTCTAATAGTAGCCTTGAAGTCACTTTTTAGTCTAATCTGAGCTGATGTTGGGAGCTGGTGACCTACAAAAGTGTTCCATTATCTGCCTCAAGGGGTACCTAGTCTATCCTGATTTTATAAATAAATTTTCATATGCTTTGCGCAAAAGAACTTCCAAAGCAAAAGAGTGTTTATATGTATGTGGCATTAAAAGAGGAAAAGTGATATTTATTCTTCTTTAAGAATGGTTTACAAAACCCTCACTTAATGAGCATCTACAAAGACTGGAGAAGAGACTTCATATTTTCAGTTTTTGCCTTGAAAGAGATACTTGATTTTTTTGAAGAGGTCATAGTGTTACAGCGGGTGGTCCCAAGGACAAACTGAGGGGCACACGGAGAGTCAGAGAATGAAAGTTTATTTGCTGGCGGGCTCAGAGGGGTCTCGCCACCAAATTCTGAGCCCTGTCTACCCGATTTTTCCCATTTTCATTAAGTTGGGGTGGTCTAAGTGGTGGGATATCAGGTGACTAATGTCCGCCAGGTAATAGGTTAGTATTATATTGATGCACTAGGTAATAGGGTTGTTGATGCACCAGGTAATAGATTCAGTGTTATGCTGGTGCGCCAAGTAATAGAATAGTTGCTGGGCCAGGTAACAGGTTAGTGTTATGCTGATATGGGTCTTCTGTGAGGGATGGGGGTCTCTGGTGGCTGATGCACCACCAAATAATAGATGGGGGTTTTCCTTATCATTCCTCCCTTTGATGCTCTTATATGTCTACTATAGGGCATCATTTTCCAGTGGGTGATAGCCTTGTAAGGCTATTATGTGAGTTGCTGCCTCCAGTTACAGTTTTTTATAATTATGCTCAATATGCAGGGGCCTGTAATGGTGCCAGTCCAGTATTTCTTTCCCTACTGTGGCACACCTGTGCCTGACTATAACATGTCTTTGGCATGTAGGTGTGGACTGTGAAACCTCCCCTGGTTTAGAAGCCTCGAGTAATCCCATTAGTGGAGGGAATCCAAGTCTTAGCATAACAAGCCTCAGGGCAGGGCTCTCTGTCACAGTTGTTAGGGCGAGTGCCCAAACCAGGAGAAGGGTAGGGACTGAAGCAGGAATAGACATCCTATAATGAGCCAAAATACCACAGTTAGAGACGCCCTCTGCAGTACAGTCCAATCTCCCGGAGCTACTGAGAAGAGTCCAGTCCCCAATAAAGTCACTACAACCCCAATGAGAACCAGGGCCAGTGGTCCTACTTACTTCTGTTCAGTCCTGGGTGTGGCTGTCCTCTTTTGGAGATGGTTAAGCTGGATCTTTAGTGGGTTAGGCTGGTCCTGATGTGCAGTCCAGAGATCAGTTTTGTTGTCTGGTTCAGCCTTTTTCACCTGGGAGTGATGGATCTACAGAGTGATACCTGCAGTGGGAGTAACTAGTATCACAGTATGGGGACCCTTCCAGCTGGGCTCTGAGGGTGTTCTTTTCCAGTCCTTTACCCAGACTAGATTCCCTGGTTGGTGGGGGTGGACAGGGAGACCCAGGGTGATAGGGGTTTTTTCTAGGACAGTATGGTGGGTATGGCACATAGCTTTGGCTAAGGCTTGGAGGTGTGTGTTTATATTCAATTCCCCTAGTTGTCTAATGTCTCCCCTTAATTGCTTGATGAGTAGGAGAAGTCTACTGAACAGGATTTCAAAGGGTGAATATCCTGTGGGTTCCAGTATGCACCTGACTCCGAACAGGGCTAGGCTTAGCATGTCTACCCAGGATAATTGTGTTTCCTGACATGGCTTCACTAGAGTGGTCTTGAGGGTCTGGTCCATGCCCTCTACTTTCCCTGAGCTCTGTGGCCTGTAGGCTGTATATAGTTTCCATTTGATTCCTAGTGCCTTGGTAAGGTTTGCATAACCTCTGCAGTGAGGCTTGGTCTGTTGTCACTGCCTAAGGAGAGTGGCAGACCATACTTGGGGATGATCTCTCTTAATAGAAGCTTTGCCACTTCCCTAGCCTTTTCAGTCCGGCTACGGACTGCCTCGACCCAGCCTGAGAAGGTGCATATCACCACCAGCACGTATGTATAGACCTGACATGGTATTACTTCTGTGAAATCTCCTTCCACATCCTCGAACGGAGAGGTTCCGGTGTACTGAGTTCCTGGGGCGGGTCTCAGCCTGACCACTGCATTGTTTTAAGCACAGGTCTGGCAGCGGGTGCTGACTGCTGCAGAGATGGATGGAAGTTTGGCGGTATAGTAGTACTGGGCGAGTAGCTGCATGAGGGCTGTTTTCCCTAAGTGAGTCAGGTTGTGATGTCAGGAGACAACAGAGTACGCTAGTTTACCGGGGATAAAGATGTTATGATTCTGTAGGTGCCACCACCCGTCTGCATCCCTCTTGGCCTTCTCTTGCTTTGCCCACTGGTTCTCTTCTGGCGTTTTCTTTGGTTCTTCAGGCCACTCAGGTGCCAACAAGATTTGGCACTGGGTTGCAGTGTTGTCCTCTGAACATTTTCGGGTAGCTGCACTTTTGGCTGCTTGGTCTGTCAGGTGATTACCAATGGCAACTGGACCTGTGCCCTTTTGGAGCCCTCGACAGTGGATGACCACAATTTCTTTTGGCTCCCAAACCACCTCCAGCAGTTGGAGGATTTCATCCCTATTTTTGATCTCCTTTCCACCTGCAGTCAGCAGTCCCCTCTCCCTGTACATTGCCCCATGGATACGTATTGTGACAAAGGCATATTTAGAGTCTGCGTATATATTTGTCTTCTTACCATGGGCATGCCTAAGGGCTTGGATGAGGGCCCGTAGCTCCCCCTTTTGTGCTGACCACCCTTGGGGCAAAGGAGCTGACATGATGACCTCATCCACTGTGTGACTATGAAGCCCGCCAATCATTTCCCATTCTGGATAAAACTACTGCCAACCGTGTAGAGTTCTAAGTCCAGTGCTGGTATAGGACTGTCCTTCAGATCTGGCCAGCTGGCACAGACCTCCTCTAATGCCTCGGTGCAATCATGGTCTGGGGGCCTGTCTCCGTGGGTAGGAGGGTGGTGGGATTCAAGGTCTGCACAGGCTCCAGGGTGACCCGCAGATTTACACGTAGCAGTCCCTGGTATTGTGCTAACCAGTTGCTTAAGAGCCATTGGTGCCCTGAGGTGTGCATTAGAGACCCACCGGTGCCCTGAGGTGTGCATTACTGTATGAGGGACTCGCACATGGAGGTTTTGTCCCAGTGTTGAGTTTGTCTGCTTCCTTGACTAGCAGGATGGTGGCTGCCCCAGTGCACGGAGGCAAGGTGGCCATCCTGTTTCTACCAGGTCCAATTGTTTTGACAAGTAAGCCACTGGTCTCTGCCATGGGCTCACAGTTTGAGTCAAAACCTCCAGAGCCACTTGTTTCTTCTTGTATACAAACAGGTCAAAGTCTTTGGTGAGGTCTGGTAGCCCTAGTACGGAGGCTCTTTTTAGTAAGTCTTTTATTTCCTGGAAAGCCCTTTCATGACTCTCAGGCCAATCCAATTCTTTGTTTTCAGGCCCTCGTAGGGACTTGCACAGAGGCTTGGCCTTTAGGGAGAAACTTGGGATCCAGATGCAGCAGAATCTGGCTGCTCCCAGGAATTCTCTTAGTTGTCTCTGACTGGTTGGGAATTGTACAGATGGTATGCTTACGCTCATGTGCCAGTGTCTGGTGCCCGAGTGATGTGGAAACTGAGGTACATCACCTGTTGCCTGGAGATCTGTACCCTTTTCCAGGAGACTTTGTATGCTTTGTCAGTGAGCAATTGGAGTAGGCACCAGGTTCCCTGTTGGCAGTCTTCTCTGGTTGGCCTTGCTAGAAGGAGGTCATTGACATACTGTAGAAGTGTGCAGTGGGTTTCTTCTCTCAGAAAGGAGATGAGGTCAGCGGTTAGAGCCTCTCCGAATAGAGTTGGTGAATTTTTAAATCCCTGTGGTAGTAGAGTCCAGGTCAGCTGAGTTTTCCTTCTAGTCTGAGGATCCTTCCACTCGAAGGCGAACAGGGGCTGGCTCTTTGGAATGAGCTGCAGGCAGAAGAAAGCATCCTTTAAGTCTAGGCAGGAGAACCAGGCAGCATCAGGAGGAATGAGGCTCAGGAGGGTGTATGGATTCAGTACCACTGGGTGGAGAGCCACTCTGGCCTCATTAATCAGTCGCACATCTCAGACGGGCCAGTATCCACCTCCGTTGGGCTTTTTGACTGGCAGGAGGGGAGTGTTCCATGGGGACTGGCACTCCACTAAAATCCCCTCCTGCTTAAGCCTATTAACGTGTTCCTGAATTCCCTTTTGAGCCTCCTTGGGGATGGGGTACTGTTGTCTCCTGGTCGGTTGGGCTCCCGGTTTCATCTTGATCACCAGGGGTGCATGCTGGTGTGCAAGACCGGTGGGGCGGGGGGGATTGTCCTCCGCCCATAGCAATGGAAAATCCTGCCAGAAGTCAGGTGGTCTGTTCCTCTTTGGCCTTGTCATAGAGCTTCCATTCTGATTCCTGGGGAAAGGTGACCGCCATTATTAGAGTCTCTGGGCCGCTAAGAGTGAGGCTCATAGTCCCTTCCAGGTGGAAGGTGATCTGGGCTTCCAGTTTGCTCAGGAGATCTCTACCTAGGAGGGGAATGGGGCAGTCAGGTATGTATAGAAATTCATGTCTTGTCTGGTGTCCCCCCCATCTGGCATATTCGGGATTGGCAGAAGGGCCAAGCTACTCGAGTTCCTGTGGTTCCCACAATGGTGGTTTCCCGCTTTATAAGTGGAGCCACTGGGGTTGTTAGTACCGAATGTTCTGTCCCAGTGTCCACCATGAATGTTAATGGTTGGCCTCCCACTTCCACTACGACCGTAGGATCTCGGGAGCCAAGAGTCAGGGAACCTGATCGGTCTTATTCTGAATCGACCCCAGTGAGATGAGACCAATGAGGTCCTGGGTCACTGGCTTCTGCTGAAAGCCCCTGGGCACGTTCCTGTTTGGTGGTGGGTAGTTTCTTTTGTTGGGGCATTCATGCTTCCAGTGACCAAACTCCTTATAATAGGCGCACTGGTCAGGCTTCAGGTTCCCTCATCTCCTGGGTTCTCCTTCCCGTGGAGGGCCAGGTCTCTTGGCTGGGTCAGGTCTTCCGAGGGCAGCAGCCAGGAGAGCAGCTTTCTGTTTCATTTTCTTGTCATTCTCCCTCTGGGTGGTCCAGTCTTGATTAACATAGACCTTCTGGGCCACTTCCATCAGCTGCGTGATGGTCATTCCTTCAAACCCCTCAAGTTTCTGGAGTTTCTGTCAGATGTCAGTTTAGGACTGCCCAATGAATGTGGCATTCACCATCACTGATTTTCAGCCACATCTGGGTCGAAGGGTATGTAGACCCAGTAGGCCTCACAAAGGCACTCATAGAATTCACTAGGTGATTCCTCCGGATTCTGGGTGATCAGAGCGACTTTATTCACATTGGTTGGTTTTCTGGCTCCCTCCTGGACCTCGTGGAGGAGAGCTTTCCGATACCTTCTGAGTGCCTCTCGTTGATCGGGGAGTTGAAATCCCAATCCAGGTTGGTCTTGGGTGCTTCTCTCTGTGCCCACTGCTCCACATCCAAGGTCCCTGCTGGAGCCTGGTCCTGGAGCCACCTCTAGGTCTCAGCTACAATCCGGTGTTGTTCTTCTGTGTTAAAAAGGGTCAAAAAGAGCTGGTAGCAGTCTTCCCAAGTGGGATCGTGGGTCTGAAAGATGGATTCCAGGAGGTCAATGAGGGCCTGAGGTTTTTCTGAGTATGGTGGGGTATGGTGCTTCTAGTTCAGAAGGTCAGTGGTAGAGAAGGGCTGGTAGTACAGGACTGGCTGATCTGGCTGAATGGACCCATCGCCTATAACCTGCATCAGACCTCACACCTCACGCAGGGGCATCTGGAGGGCTGAAGTTGGGCTGGAGGTGACCGTAGCCGGTGGGTAATGGGAGTGTCGGCACTCAGTTGGTCTGGAACTGCCAGCGGGGAGACTGACAGTGGCAGGGTGTCTGATGGATTCGAGGGTACTTCAGGAGGTGTCACAGGGTTGTAGAGAGGTGGTGATGGATCCTCTTCAGGAGCTTCCTGATAGATGGGTTTGGACAGTTTGGAGCCTCTGGTCCCTTAAGCCACAAAAATCCTGCTCTGTCCCTTATTAGCACAGAACCAGATCCAAGGGGGCATAGTCTGAGCAATCTCTGGCCATGAATCAATGTAAGGGAATTGGCTGGGGTGGCCAGGAGTCCCGGTCACAATTCTCCAAACTGCTCGCATAGTGGAGAGGTCTAAGGTTCCTGCTGCGGGCCAGTTGACCCAGAAGGTGGGCTATTCCTGTTCACAGAGGGACCTAAGTCTACTGGGACTCAGTGTGACACCATAATCTCCCCTGAAACCCTTCTTAAAGTTCTTTAACATGCATTTAAGGACTGTAGGCTTAGATTCTATGGTACCCATCCTAAACCCCTGAACGGTGTCACAGCTTAACAGACAAGGGGGGGGTTGGTTTCTCTCAGGTGTCCACCTGGTTACGACTCTCTCTGGAACTTAGGCACATCTTGGCGAAGGTGTGCACATATAAACCCCTGGCCTGGTTACTCTCTTTAGGGGAGTGAATCACCGTTATGCCATATGACGTCACCACAGAACCACAGGTGAGGACCCACTCAAGTTCCATAGCCATGGCCGTGGAACTACAAACAGTCACTCTTCACTCACTCACTCAGACAGGAAGAGGTTACATATTCCCACCCTGGTAATTCCCTGCACTCAGGAGGTAATCAAGCTCCTCCTCCATCGCCTGATGGCCCGACTCAGGCGGGTCCTGGGACCTTACCTGGTCCGACGCCTCCAGACCTGATTTGACTTATCCTTCCCTCCAGAGTGTCCGGGCGAGTTCAGGACCCCGTGACCAGTGGGAGCACCTGAGGAGCGAAGATATTCCGCAAAATGGCAGTTGGTGCCAGTTTGCTTCTGTTGCTGAGGTCCCACCCGTTGCTGTGCCCGTCCCTGAACTGGTGGCTTCAAGGGGTCAGTGCAGTCGGTTTTTCTGGCCAGGGAACCCAAATGTTACAGCAAGCGTTATAGTGGGCAGTCCCGAGGACAAACCGAGCGGCACGCGGTTGCTGGAGAATCAAAGTTTACTCATCAGCAGGCACACAGGCGTCTTGCCACCAAATTCTGAGCTCATCTACCTGATTTTTCCCACTTTTAATAAGTTGGGGTGGGATATCAGGTGACTAATGCCTGCCAGGTTAGCATTATGTTGATGAACCAGATAATAGGGTAGTTGATGTGCCACATAATAGGTTTAGTGTTATGCTGATAAACCAGGTAATAGATTAGTTGGTAGGCCAGGAAATAGGTTAGTGTTATGCTGATGTGGGTCTGCCCTGAGGGGTGGGGTTGTCTGGTGGCTGAGGTGCCAAGTAATAGACAGGGGTTTCCTCATCAATAGAAACCTTTGATAAGCTATGCATTAGCTCCCTAGGAAAAAAAAGATCTATTCAAGAATTTGCCTTTATGATTTCACTAATCACAAGTTAAAGAATCCCTTTGTAGAACAGGTATATCACCTTTCATTTAAAAGTAATAAAAAACATTAATCACTTATATCAGGAAATTAGTGGAAATTTCCACGTTTTGTCATTGCGTATGTGATGGTGGTGGGGGTAAGGAAATCGTGCAGACTAGTGTGCTAAAACAAGTTGCCACAAAGTCATCTCCGTGATCCCACTATCACTTTGTGGAAAAGTCCTTACACGAGTATCTTACTTTCCCAATAAAAGGCTGTGTATTTCTTGCTCCTTAACTGCCTTTACACTTCCACTTTAAATACAAATGCTGATAAAGGATGGGAAACAACAACAGAAAAGCCCTAAGGGTCTGCAAAATAATTAGGGCTGCCCCCAGGGAAATCAGCGCGAGATAAGGCTAGAGCCCCTCTTCCTTCCCACCTCCTCCGGGACTCACGCACACTTACTGTCCCTCGGGGCGGGCTCGCCCCTCCGCCTCCGCCTTCCCGAACACGTGCTCTCCCGAACACTCACTCTCGAGACATCCCACCCCCCGGGGGCTGGGCTCGGGAGCCGAACGGACCAATCGGCACGCGCCTTACAGCGTCGTGGCTCGGCAACGTTGAGCCGCCCAATCGAAAGGGCCTTACCGCCCGTTTCCCGGAGCCCCGCCCCCTCGCCGCCGTGCCCCCGCCCGCCGGTCTCCTCCCTCCTCCTCCTCCTCCCCCCGTTCGCCCCTCCCCCGCCGCTCCGGAGCGGAGCCTGCGAGACGGAGAAACTGGGGCAGAAGTGAAGATGGCGGCGGCGGTGCTGGCGGCGGTGGCGGCTTCTCGCCAGTGACGCGCGGTGCGGGCTCTTCTCCCTCTCCACCTTGCGTAGTCCAGACCCCGTCCGCCGCCGGGACCGTACAGTCCCCGCAGCCCGCAGCCCGCCCCTCTCCTCCCTCCCCAGTCGCCTCCTCTCCCGACGCCCGGCTGCCGCTGGCGGCGGCGCGCCCCGGGTCCCGACAGCCAGCTTCGCACTCGGCGCTGTCGCTGGGGAGCGGGAAGCGTGGTGATTTGCCCTCCTGCCCGCCCCGCCGGGCCGCGGACACACGCCCGGCAGGGAGGCGGCGGCCCCTGCGCATTAGCTTCCCTCCATTTGGGGACTGGGAGGCGGCGGCTTTGGGTTTTGGGGAGGGGAAGGGGATTGGGGGGGCGGGCGAGAGCGGGAGGGGGCCGTCCTCGGGAGGAGGACGAGAAGGAAAGCACCATGACGACCATCCATTTCGTGGTTCACCCGCTGCCGGGCACCGAGGACCAGCTCAATGACAGGTAATAGGGCCGGCGGGTCGGCGGGCGGGCGGGGGGAGGGGCGCTCTTCCTTCCCTCCCCCTCCTCCCCTCCCTCCCCCTCCTCTCCTCCCCCCCACGGGACCGCGCCGGGGCGGGCTCCTGTGTTTACGCGCGGGCAGTCCAGCTGGGGTGTGGGGGGGTCCTTACTGCCCCCTGCTAGGCCCCATCCGGGCGAAACTTCTGGTTCCGGGGGCTGGGGGCCACTGGGGGAGCGCGGTGTAGACGGGACCCGCCGTGTAGACCCGAGAGCGCGCTGCACATCCCCTTCCCCCCTTTCCGCGAGGAGCCGCGTTGAACTCGACAGGGATGGGGGGGCTCCGGTTCCCGGGGGGCAGGCTGTAATTGCCTCTCGGCCCAGGCCCGAGGAATCCATATTAGTCAAAGTTGAATTGAGACAGACAATGCGGATGGGGGATGGTGGAGGTAAAAAGAGAGGGAAGAGGAGAAGCGGGGCAAGGGGCCCCGGGGCAGGCTGGGCCGGGCTTGCCCGTGCCCGGGAGATGTGTCCGGTGGGGCGATCTGGACCTGCCAGGCCTGCGGATCCCGGGGGAGAGAAGCCGATTCCCGGCAGATGGGGGGTGGGGGGGTGAGGGAGGGAGAGGGAGGAAGCGCCATGATTATTGTTATTATTATTAAATTTGAGCCCCTGCGGTGAGGTTTGCCTGGCCTGGGAGAGGATGAATTCTGGCGGGGGTGGGGAAGTGAATTGGATTCCCTTTGCTCTCCTTCTCCTGAAATGGTGCTGGCAGCTCCTGCCAGCCCCTGTGGTGCGAGCTTTTTTGTTTCCTTTTTTATTCTAATGATAGTGTTTTCCTGAGTTGTAATTTGACAGCTGAAAACCGTGCGTAGCGTGTCAAAGGAAAACTCTTACGTTTGCAGTTCAGCAATGCTGCTTTTCTTAACACGCTGTAAATTTCTGGGTTGGGTTTGCTATGGGCGGAGGAGGAATTATGATTTTTTTATTTTTTGCCTTTTATAAGAATGCTGTTTTGGTTTGGATTCCTCTCTTTCCCTCCTCCACCGTTCCTTGCCAGTTTAGGATATTGGATTGCAGGGCCCCGGCATGCTCACAGGGAACTAAGGTAAAGCAGGACAAGTTCCTTCACTGTTGCAAAACAGAATCAGAGGAGGTTGAGGGAGGCCTCCATTAAAGCATGTCTTAGAATCTAGGACTCAGATCTAATGATGTGTTACATGTCCACAGGCTCAGAAAGTGGGAGCATTTTAAGCCTCCCTCTCCCCCAGTACTTTCACCGCTCTCTGTATTTCTTTTGAGTATAGAAACTTAGACCCATCTGGGTCTAAGTTTAGAAGCTAGATATAATTTTTGCTAAGTGACCGGGTGACTTAAGTTGCATGACGCGGTTTGTCATGCGCTTCCCGGCGAGAGGAAGAGGCCTAACTTGCTGCTAAGATATGGGCTTCTGTCTCAGTATATCTGACCACCTCAGGTGGGGCAGACAGCCTTTAAATCCCGAGCTGGGGGTTTAGTTTCTGGCACTGGGTTCGGATTTGTCTAATCTTTGCTCTTGCCATATTGTATTTAACATGTATGTGAAACTTTTGAAATACTTCTTGAAAACACTGATCATTTGGAGTTGCCACATAGTTTAAATACTGAAACAACTTTTTAAGTTATTTAACGTTTTGTTATGTGGTCCTTACTTTGACTTTATTTCATTAAAGATCTTTTAAAGACATCAACATAAGATTCTTTGTAAATTTTGGAACCAGGCCAGGAGTGATGATAGCTTTACTGTCATTCATGGAACCATGCTGGTGGTGCTTGTCCTGTAACTTTTCTTGTAACTTGAAAATTGCACCAGGGAACAGAGAAGTAGAGCATGTTTTCTACATTAGTACTAACTTTCTCAGTTGGCTGTGCACACCAAAACCTATTTTGCAGTTGTGTTGGACACTTTGATTCTTTCTTTTTTTGAAAGGCCTCGCTCTGTTGCCCATGCTAAAGTGCAGCAGCATCATCATAGCTCACTGCAACCCTAAACTCCTAGGCTCTAGCAATCCTCCTGTTTCAGCCTCCTGAGTAGCTGGGACTATAGGCATGTGGCACCGTGCCCAGCTAATTTTTCTATATTTTGTAGAGCTGGGGATCTCGTTCTTGCTGGTCTGGAACTCCTGGCCTCAAGTAATCCTACCACCTCAGCCTCCATAATTCATGTTTGGGGCATTCCTTTTGCTTCAGTTACTTTTGAAATTAACAAGTAATTAACTTTTTATTTATTTATTTTTTAAGAGACAGGGTCTTGTACTGTCACTCAGGCTGGAGTGCAGTGACCCATAGCTCACTACAACCTTTGACTCCTGGGCTCAAGTGATCTCTTGTCTCAGCCTCCTGAGTAGCTAGGACTGGAAGCACATGCCACTGTGCCGGCTAATTTTTTAATTGTTTTATAAGGGTTGGGGCTGACAGGGGTCTTGCTTTGTTGCCCAGGCTGACCACAAACTCCTGGCCTCAAGTGATCCTCCCATCTCCACTTCTCAAAGTGCTGGGATTACTGGTATGAGCCACACCGCCCAGCTTTAATGTACTTTTTAAAAGCTACCTTTTCTTTTTCCATTCCTAGTATAAATAATTAGCTTTGTTTTTGATTCTTATAATGTCAGTATATAATATTAAGAGTATGTAGATCATAATGAGTTTTCATTTCATGAAATAAGGAAAAGATCAGTGGATCTGAGTCATATCATACCATGTGTGCATCAAGGTGGCAGACATTTGAAAAAAATAGAAAAGTACTGTAAGTAAAATTTTAGGGACCTATGGTTGTACCTGTTAGACATAAGCTTGTCTGATTTGTTGAGATTTGTGAAGCCAGCATTTGAGACAGTCACAAATCCTAAGTTTTGAAGTAGTTGACTTGTATTGACTTGCAGCAAAAGCTGTTGTATCTTCCCTTCAAAAGGAAATGTCTGCTTTACATACCTAGTTGCAAAGTAATAGGATCAACTACTGCTTGAGAAAAATCTGTTTCCAAAAGAGATTGGTTTTCTGGAACCTTTTAATTAACTATAGTAAGCAGCCTAGAATATATTTTCATCTTCAGATAAAAACTTTACCAAATTTTAACAAGTTTTGATAATAGAAAAGAATGCTAGTATGGCTTGCTTTGTTGTTTTTTATTATGAGAAATGTGTCTATGAGAATCAAATAAACAAGTTTAGGATGAAAGGATAACTAGGTGTACTTTGTTCTTTACACTAAAAGCAGTGAGGTGCTTGTTTCAGCAGCACATGTACTAAAATTGGAAGCATACAGGGAAGATTAGGATGGCCCCTGTGCAAGAATGACAGTGTTCCATATAAAAATTAATAAAAACAGTGAGATGAGACAAATAGTCTGGTACTGCAAATAAATTTCTCAGTTAAAGAAAACTTTTGGCCCTCAGAACATCAGTATTTTCTTCTCTAAATAAGCTTTCTTTAAATACCCACATCCTGTAAAAAGTCAAATATTTTTTTTCTCAGCTCTTTTGTAAAAAAACCAAATATTTTGTTCACTGTAATAGTCTGATGTTTCAAGCATCTAAAATGTATAAAAAGAAAGACACTCATCTGATTTTTTTCATAATTTGTGTTTTCAGACTTGCTTAATGGATAATGATGGCTGCATGAGTGAAGTCGAAGAATATGGGTGGGGGGGATGGCTAGAATGGAAAGAGGAGAGAAATTCAGAGAGCCAGGGATGTTGGCTCTGCTTCCTAGAGTGATTACAAGGTCCCTGGCACAGAGTTGCTGGGCCTTCTGCAAATATTCATTGCATTGAATTGAAACCATTCAGTGCTCAGATACTTCTGTGACATTTTGATTTTCTTTCTAGTGAATTTCTTGAGTTAGTGCTATGTTTTTATTTAAAACATTGTCTTAGGAAACAGCAGAATAATACCAAGAACATGGTTCTGCATATTGAAATTGAGGGGAGAGCTGGAAGTGCCTGGTACCTGAGTAGTCATGTAGACCACCAGTCTTCTCACTAATGAGTTGAAGAAATAGACCTAGAGATTTATCCATGGGTACACAGCAAGTGACTGACATATAGCTGAGGGGTCCACATGATGGGTCTTCTGACTTTTTTTTTTAAGTCCAGGGCTCCTTTCTACTCTTCCCACATGGCTTGTATTCCGGAATATTTCTGTCTCAGACATCCCAGCCCTAGAGCAGCCACCTGTATTAGATTTTTGATATCCTCTTCCCCTCAACTACTCCCTCTAGGCTTCTAGTTTGATTTGTGTCTTTTAGAGGAGAGAGCTGACCCTCTTAACCGTTTCCTAGTAGTAGGTTAGGAGAGG